GGCATCCGAAAACCAGGCAGGGTTGCAGTCGGGCTGTGGTGAGGGTGTATGAGACTCCATATAGCACTCGCGAGTGTATTCTGTGTAGAACTTCAGAACCTGCTTTTTCAAGATGTGAGGAGCCTGTCAATAAGGACTCTACATCACATATATGATTCCTCGGAGTTCTTTATTATAAATATATATGTAATATAAAATACCCGCTACAACCTTATTCGAGAAATTATAGCTCCCAGCCCCCAGCGCCCCCCTCCTTCCCCATCAAATGCCCTAAATCCCCAAGCCTGAAACCTCAACAGACCCTTAACGGCAAACCCTACCAAGACCCTCAAACGAAGATCTGTTGTTGGCTACCTTAGTTTCTCGTTGTAGGATCCTCACCATGAAACACATCACCCAATAAAGGTTAAATACTACACTTAAGGGTCTCGGCAAACTGATGAATCTGAAGAGAGGAAACGGAAGCCTACATGTAGGTCTCGGAGCTTTTCCGTTGCAGAGGTCCTCCTTGGGCTCGGACGAGCACCTGCCAACGGCGCACACCTGCCCCTTGACTTGATTTGCTTTTGCTTTTTCTTTCCGTGTCTTGTTCATTGGTGGTTTAGGCTTTAGAGTTCAGGTCTAGTTAAGGTTGAGGGTGTCAGAGTGAATGACTTCGAACGTAGGGTTTGGGCTTTATCAAAGCCATAAGTCCTGTAAAAGCTAATTCCAAAGCCTAAACCCTGAATCCTAAACCTAAAGCTTACACCCAAAACCCAACCGGCCAGGTGTTAACAAGCTCGTCCTGTCGCGGCCTCGGCAGTCAGAAAGGCTCAGATTTACCCTGCTGGGTCCATGTACTATGTGGTTTAGGGCTTAGGCCATCGATTTGGGATGTCTTGTTTCTCGTTGTTTAACTTCGAACCCTAATGATTGTACAAACAATCTGGCGGCGGTTGAAATCGACAACTAGTAAGATAGTGTAAGCTTCGTCCATAGTCAGGGGCTCCAAGCAGAGATGTAATTTGGAGGTACATGCTCCATCAGCGACTGGGCTGATGATGTCCCCTATTGCACCTGTATCTCTTAGTATGTGGTACCCCAAAACTACCCCTTGTCTCTCAAGTGGCTCAAGACACCATAGCTCTTTCTGCGTGCAATGAAAACAGCCCGCTGTGTGTGCAAGCGTAAGTCATTAGGTCTAAGGGCTTGTAGGAACCCAGATCCTCCCATGCCATGTTGGGCTCGCCCCCAAGCGAGTCCGCCACAGCGGTTGGCTTCGGCCAATCGTTTCCCAAGGCGGGCCGAGGTTGCACTTCGTCATCCTCGCGTGCAGCATCCCGCAGCGAGGACAGTGACGAATGGGAAGTCATGGAAACGGAACCCGTTGCAGGTATTGGTTGCCGTAAGACATGTTACTGGTGCAAAGAGAAAGCTTGTGTGCGGAACAAGAAAGGTCCACAGCAGTGGAGATGACCGCAGCAACAACTCCTCCGGAGGATGCTCTGAGGACGCACCCTTTCAAAGGCCAGCGTCATATATTGCGACGACTGACAAGATGCTCGGCCATCGAGGCATAATCAACGCCCAGGATAGGGCCTGCAAACTGAAGCCTGCAAGCCAAAAACCTAACCCGAAAACGCACCTGAACGCACCAATATAGACTATAACTCCGTGGAGCCCTATACCGGTAGTAGCCGGGTCGGAATAGTTCAACGTTGAAAAATTTGTAATTCCCTGGAAGTCCTAATGCAGAGGATCCCTTCAAAGCCATAGTCTAACAATAAAGGCTCATATACTAAACCTTCTTAATAACCATCAAAAAGCCTATGGAGAAACTCTCGATCCCCAATTTAGGAGAACAACCATGACCCTTAGAGGAACCTTCCTAGACCCCTTGTCAGGAACCCTTGAGAGCAACCCCAGTCTAAGAACCCAGGCCCGCGCATTGAAGCGAAACCTTAAACCCAGGCACTGGCCCTACATCAGAAGCGAAGTACCCCAAACCCTAAACGAATAAGGTACCTTTACGAATCCTCAACCCTTAATATGCCAGTGCCCTAATGACCTTTATATAGGAATACTTTTCGAGGTACTTCTACACTACTATTTGCTTAAGAAACCCCCAAAAAAGAAAAATAATAATCCCTATATTACCACCATAAGGAATATACTTTTTATTTTTTGGGGGTTCTTAAGCAAATAGTAGTACAGGAGACACTAAACCCTGAACCAAAACCCCAAAGCCTATAAACCCTAGGAGCCCTGTGCTACCAACGGAAAACCCTAAACCCTAAACCCCGAACCCTTGTACCAAGGAGGAAAAGGGCCCTTCAAAAAGAAAGCGAACCCTAAACCCCAAACCCCTATATCAGCTAGGACCCGGAGTAGGCCCTTATTCCCTTTTTTAGGGTTTAGGTTCCCTTATAACCCCCTTTAAACCAAAAAGGGCACCCTTTTTATTCCTAGGTTACTCTTAGGTCTAGTCAGAAGCGAGGTATTTCTACCGGAGCAAGTCGCAGCTCCTGGAGAAGCTGCTTTGTGCTCTCGTGGATGAGTCGCCGGGGGGCTCACATCGGCGTTGAAAGTTCGGGAGCTCTGAATTGCGGGTGGACTTAGTAACATAATGGGTTCCTTAAGGGCCCCTTTAAAGGGATCTTTAGGGATTCTATAAGGGTATAGGGTTTAGGGTTTAGAGTGCTTGGAGGGTCGGGGGACTTAGTAATTGGTTGTTTTAGGGACGTAGAAGTACCATAATCCCAATTAGGGTCCCTTTTAGGGTACTTATAAGTCTGCTTACTACCTACTTACTAAGTCCACCGACCCTCCAAGTAAGGGGATCTAATAAGGGTTTGCTATATATAGGTGCAAAAGGGGTCTAAACAGGGTTTCTATAGCGCTAAGGCTTTAGGGCTTAGGTTTCAGGGGGTGGATTTCCAGGAGTTAAGGGCCGTCCATGCTTGGAGTTCGCCCACAGTTATGTTCAGAGTTCAGGAGTTCTGAATTTCGGGCAGGGGCTTTGGGTTCATGGTGTGGGGCTCAGGCAGCCTAAACCGATTCATGGTGCTGATGAGTCCACGTGTTTATTTGCTCTGATTCGCTGAACTGTTGTGGGTTTCCTTGGTCCTTGCCAGCAGTTTCATTGTTTGGACAAGCCCTCAATCCCAAACGTTCATTTCAGTTCATTTCTGCTGGGCTCAAGAGTATCATCTAGCCCTAAACCCTATAGCATCTGTTTAAAAGTACCTAGAGTAGCCAAGGTACGTTAAGCAAAAGTACATTTACCAGTTTGTTTAAGGGTCTTATCATGTAATGACCCTTGTCTATAGTACATTGGATACTCTAGCTAAAAAAGAGGCCCTAATAACTACCTATACTATTTTCGGGTTTCCATATTACAAACATAGTATAACGGGCCCCAAAATCCTATTCAAATTATTCAGGCCCCTACTATATCATAGTACCCTTAAAGTAATAGGACCCCTTTAATGGAGCCCTTTGCAAGAACCTTAGTCTAATCCTTATATTTTCGACTTGAGCTCGCTGAAGCTGGGTACTGGTATGCCGGCCTTCTTGGCCACGGGCAGCGCGGCAGACTCTAGAGCAGTTCAAAGGCAGTATGAAACGGTTTAGGCTTGAGGGTTCAGGGTCTAGGCAAACGGTCCTGGGTACTGTTATAGGGAATACTTCCCCAAATCATAACAGTAACTCCTAATAGAGAAACCCTACGTTCTACTATGTTGGTACTCTGGACCCTTTGGGAATGACAGTATGAAAGTAGTACTAGTTCTCAAAGGTCCTATTTCATAAGGGTGTCGCACTGTTTTGGGCGGGGGGGGGCCTAAAATTGGCAAAGTCGGATACACTGAAGCCTAAACTCGAACCCTCGACAACCCATAATGCTAGATCCTACCTGGAAACTAGGCACACTTACCGAAAGGATCCTTTGTTACTAGACCAATCCCGGAAATCCTGAAAGTCCCTAAACCCTTAACCGTGGGACGCCCCGAGGTTTGGCACAGCCTGACCTCTGCTCTGCAGCGCGCATAGGGCATCCAAAAGAGCCATTCGGCTTGTTGAGTTGAAGACTGTTGAGGACCGGTTTAGGGTTTAGGGCTTGGGGTTTAAGGTCTAGGGTTTATGCTTTAGGGTTTGGGGTTCAGGGTTGAAGAAGGGCTCCCTAGTATTGAGGCAAGGATCCTGCAACTTTTCGGGGTTAACCAATATATTGGTAAGGATCCTGCAATGACAAGTAAGGTAATCGAGAACAGGGAAGCACAAGTGAGGATCTGGGTTCGACGGGCATTCACTGCTGTAGGCTCTTCGGATTAAGCACATCACATACTCTCCCCAAAAGTAGCCTACACATTTCTATCCTAAACCCAAGTACCCAATTTCGTGTTTTGGACTTGAAGGTTACAGAAAGTTGATATTAGAAGCCATCCGGCAACTTAAAACATGGGTTTTCGATAGCAGTTTCAAATCTTGGGGTTTGATTGTGAAGGAGCATGCGTCATTCATCGGGCCGCCGCCATTTTCAGCATCATCTCGAGTAGCCAAGGTACCTTAAGACGGGTAAATGTAGCATCCTCCTAGTCATATCCCTTTTTTGAGGGTACATTGGTTAGTCATACTCTGCCTTAAACTACAAAACTCTACTTTGTGTAGGTTCTTATTCTGAACCCTAATATGAAATTTATTGGGATCCTACAGGGATAAGTCTTGGTAGGTTAAGGTAGGGATCTCAAGCGTCGCCGCAACATTGAGCAACGCAGAGCAAATGCACGAGTGCCGGAAGCTCTCAGTGAGCAACACACCCGCACAGCACCACCCCCTGCCCCTGCGGGGAGCAACCCACCAGCACACCCTTGACAAGCAACATGGAGCTTACCTAAACTAACTGATGTACCTTAAAAACGGTGTATGGCCCATATACAAATCAGTGTAATTAGCGCACTTACTTTGTTTAAAGTACCTTGGTTCCTCGAGGTATTGCTTAGGCCAGAGCGTGTGCGCCCAAGATGGGTGCTGGCGCAAGTGCCCAGGATCTGGCCTCTGTGGATGATGAGACGCTGATACTGGGCTCTTCTTAAGGAATTCAACCTTTTTCCTGTAGGTCTCGATACTGTTATCATTGCACATTTGTACTTCTTAAATGTAATTAGAATCTTTGTTTATGATGAAACCCAGGATAGGCATCATCGCCTCGGATCCGGATCGAATCGAACGGCTGTTGCGCACTGCCCGGCAGACAGAAACGCAGGAGACTTCCAAACCCGAAGTTCTCGGCGAGGTCCTCGTCCTTATCATTTTATAGGTTTCTAGGGTTCAGGGGTCCATTTTTTATCAAAGTAGATTAGTGTGCTGGTTCCGGTAATGATGCTACGTAGTAAATACTAGGGAGACCCCTTAAATGGCACCCTTCTTGACCCTACTTCTGGCTCTCTGAATGAAAAGGGACTTTATTGAGAGGGTCTACATCCCCAAAGGTCCCCTTAATCCCAGATCCGAAAAGAAGCATCCCTTATAGGAACCCTCAAAGGAACCCTTATAGATCCCTTTAAAGCTACCCCTAATATTAGGAAACTCTTAATTGAAGCTCATGGTGAGGTCCCCGCGGAAAGCAGCGAGCCCGACGCAGTGTGGGACAATCTGGGGCCTGGCATCCAGTGCAGGTTCCTTGGGGACCAAAAGACCCTTAGAAGTATCCCTAAGGTTTAGGGTTTAGGGGTTGATGATAGAAACCCTGCATGCAGGATTTATATCGTCAACCCTAAGGTACCCAAGCAGTATATATCTTGGCCTCAAAGGAATTAGTCCCTAAAAAGGTACTTTAGGGCCAAAGTATATACTATATGGGGACTAAAAGACCCTTATAGGTATTGGCCCCATATCCGTATACCAGCCATACTATGAGTCCCTGTATCGTATACGAACCCTATGGACCCTAACCCTGATACTATAACATGAAGTCTTACATGGTATATGAACCCTAAACCCCTAAACCCTAAACGCTCATACCCTAAGCCGTTTTAGGGCTCCATGAACCCTAAACCCTTGAAGCCCTAAACCTCTAAACCCTCAACCCTAAAACCCTAAAACCCCAAAACCCTAAAACCCCTAAAGTTGAAGCCCTAAATCCCCAAACCCCTAAACCCCTCAACCCCAAGCGCTTCTAGGGCCCCTTTCGCCCTCAAAAGGAGCTGGAATGTGCCTCACAGCGACTGGAGCGTCCGGCAATTCCGGTATCAAGTGCTTTGGATTCTGAGTTTAGGGTATAGGGATTAGGGTTTAGATTATGGGGTTAAGGCCATTGGGTTTAGGGCTTAGTGTACTTCGTTTGTTTTGTTTGGCTCGGGCATCTGGTTCTGAGGTGGATATTGTGCGGTTTTGTTCTGGTTCTGGCATCTGGTTCTACGGGGCTGGAATACTCTAATGTTTAAGCATTGTTCCGATGTGGTGGTCTTTGTAATAGGCCGTGATAGGAACCAGCACTTAAAATGTGCATTATTTTCTTACCTTAGACCCCAAAACCTCACTGGGTTCCCTTATAAGAACCGATATGTAGAAAATGGGTTTAGGTGATTGTGCCTCCGTGGTTCCTTGACAGCTCAGGTGCAGGGCGATCCGTATGACTCTCTTGGGAAATCCCCCTTTGAGCATTCCAACTCCTACAGCATGCAGCTTGGCTCGAAGCAGGGTTTATGCCAGGGATGTGGCTCCGTAGGAAATCTACCCTACATCGGAAGGTCATAAACGCCAACCCTCAAACCCCAATATCGCTAGGCCTTGCAGAACCCATACTAGAGTCCTGAAAAAAAGCAAACTACAGTTTAGACCAGATTATTGTACTTCCTCAGCCCAAAGCCCCAATCAGCATCTTCTCTAGCAGTACAGTATCATCTTTCCCTGAGGATCCAACTACTCTCCTAAACCCCAGTACCTAATTCTTGGGTCCTTTCGACCCTTAGGGGTTTCAGAGTACCAAGCTTCCGTTTCAACCTAAGGCACCGTGCCTTCCACCCCCTTCAGCTTGATGGCCGAACGGCGGTGGTCTGGCAATCCCGCAACGATTGGCGACCACAGCTGCTTGCTTTCAAGTCGATGCTTCAAAGTTGCTATTACTACACTCGCAAGTATGGTTGTTCTGCTACTGTTAATATTGAAACTTCGAAGAACCCTTGGGGCTTAGGTTAAGGGTTCCCTCCGCCATAAAACTGAAACCCGGAATCCTGAACCTTCTGAGTCACAGTATCCTTCTAGGACATCAACAGACCTGTAAGCACGGAGGCCTCGATCCGTCAGAAATCGCTTAAATGAAGTCCAGAAAACTGCAAGGTGGGCGAAGGAAGAGTAGTGCTAGGATTCCCACGCTCTGCAGGCAACCGGCTCATGGGTTGCTGTGAGGATAATCGCGATAATGATCACCACAACACCGACAAGTTAAACTAGGTAGGGCTTTGGGACATTTTATATTTTCCCTTATTGGGCTTAAGAGGATCTTATTTGCTAATTTTTGTCAAAAGCTAAGCCCCACCTAGTAAAGTAAAAGTAATAACATCAACAATGGCGATAAAGATTAGAATCTCAGGACGCTTATAACAGGAAAGCTTCACTAGGAAAGCTGCCGAGATCATCTCCTCCTTGCCAGCAGCGGGTTTAGGGACGAAAGCCTTACGGGATTTAAATTATAGATCTCCTCCGCAATGTAAGGGCCTTACGAATTAGAGTACGGCTTTGCGGCGTCTTGTAGTGTGTTAGCACCTACATCCCCAACTCATTCAACCCTATGAGAGCCTCTAAACCTCTAAACCCCAAAGCCCTAACCCCTAAACCCTGAGCCCCTAAACCCTTAAACCCTAAACCCCTAAACCCAAAGTCCCTAAACCCCCGAGCCCCTAAACCTTGAGCCCAGCCGAGGCTATCCACATTTGGAACTATACTTACAACTACTTCTAACTCCAATTAAGGTATTTAAAAAACCATACTTACTAAGTCCAATGATCCTCCAAGTACGTACTCTAAGGCCAAAGTCCTACACCCTGAGCCCAGCAGAGGCTATCGGTTTTTGGGAGCGACTTCAGCAGCTACGAGCAGATCGCCCTGCCCAGCGCGGACGAGGCTCTGGGATGAGGATTCGGGGTGCAGGGCTCAGGGCTCAGGGTTTGGGGGTTGGGGTTTAGGGGTTGGGGGTTAGGGCTCAGGGTTTGGGGTTTAGGGGTTGGGGTTTAGGGCTCGGGGGTTTAGGGTTTAGGGGTTAGGGTTTTGGGGTTTAGGGCTTAGGGGTTTAGGGTGTAGGGTTTAGGGGTTTGGGGTTTAGGGGTTGGGGGTTAGGGGTTTAGGGTTTAGGGGTTTAGGGTCTAGGGGTTAGGGTTTAGGGGTTAGGGTTTAGGGTTTAGGGGTTAGGGTTTAGGTGTTAGGGTTTAGGGGTTTAGGGTTTAGGGGTTCAAGGTTTAGGGTACCTTTGGGTTCCCTAAAAGGGGTTTCCAGAAGGGTAATTCAAGGACTTTAGGGTTTAGGGCTTAAGGGTTTATGGCGCTTTGGGTTTGGGGGTTCAGGGTTCCAGGGTTAGGGCAGTTTGGGGTTTAGGGTTCAAGGTTTAGGAGTTTACGGTTCAAGGGTGCGGGGTTCAGGGAGCAGGGTTCAAGGTTTGGGGTTTAGGAGTTTACGGTTCAAGGGTTCAGGGGTTCAGGGATCAGGGTTCAAGGTTTGGGGTTGAGGGTTCAAGGATACTGGTTCAGGGTTTAGGGTTCCGGTTTCAGGGTGTAAGGTGCAGGGACAAGGGTTTAGGGTTTAAGGTTCAGGGTTCGGGATTTACTTACCTTGGGTTAGTAGGGAATGGAGGAATAGGGTACCATTATAACTACTATTACTACCATGCTTCCATGCCCTACTAACCAAAGGTAAGTTTAGGGCTTCAGGAGTCAGGATTCGGATGATGAAAATCCCTCTTAAATACGGAGCTAAAAAGCCAAGGGAACCCCAAAACCGCTGGTTAGTTAGGGCTTCGAGATTCAGGATTTTGGGTTTTGGGGTTTGGGGAAGGCCACCTTGGCTGGCGCAGCCCACGATGGGAAAGAGCCTGGAGCTTTGCTTCTTGGGCTGTCTATATGGGTGGTTGTCAAAATTATGGGGTACCCTAGGGTTGCTTTAAAGGGATCCCTTGAGGCATCCTTTTTGGGATCTATGGGGTTTAGGGTTTAGGGAGATATGGGTGGTTGTCAAAATTATGGCCCCTTTTTGGATACCCTAAATATTAGGTGCCGTACTATAATATGGACCCAAAAAGAAAGGGACCATAATTTTGACAACTACCCATATATGGGGGTGTTTTTGACGTGTTTAGGGCTGAGGGTTTGGAGCTCTGGGGGTTTTGCGGCTCGGGCTTTAGATTCACGTGTTGGCTGTATACCAATAGTTGTGTTTGCCTGCTGGCTTTATTATGGGTTCTTTCAGTTTTGCTTGGATTGTATATAGGGTCTCTGTTAGAAGCTGCCCACACCCTGTAATAGTGGTATAATAGGAATATAGCAGGGCCCTAAAATACTCCTTATTAACCCTTATGGTCACTATTACAGGGTGGGGGCAGCTTCCAAGGTCTCTGTTTGGTTTCCATTGGGCTTAGGGTTGTAGTCGACCACTTAAGTTGCTGGGTTCCTCTGTGCTCGTACCCAGAGGGTCCACATGTTATCGTGGTTTGGGAGACAGTTCCATATCGGTAGTAGATGTGGGCCCTCTAGGGTATGTATCAAACGTTGGCGTGTTGTTCCGAGGTATTGGGGAAGTAGTGTTCATGACTTCTTGGGGCTTGTTGCTGTTCTGAAGTAGGGCTCCTTCTCCGCACCAGCTTAACTTGCCACGCCAGTAGTTTGCTGCACAAGAAAAGGCTTCTAGTCTGGCAAAGGCGAAAAACTGCCACACGAGCCACCGATAAGGACAACCCTATGAAGCCCGACAAAACCTCTGCAAAGCAATTCGAAACCCGGGACCTGCACAAAAGGAACAACCCTTAAACCCTAAACCCTGGTATCCTTGTAAAACCCAAAGGCTCCATGTGCCCATATAGTAGTTACTTAGGCCTCAAACGGGTCCCTATATAGGTACTTTAAGGCTTAAGTACCGGGGGTTTCCGAAAATGGGGGACCCTAATCTAGTACCCTAAATAGCAGGGTCCTTATTAGAAGGACTCCAAAATAAGGTACCCCTAATTATTGAAAAGTCCCATATGGGTACATGGAGCCTCAGGAACGAAAAATCTTTCAAAGCCACCCGAGCCCTGCAGTCCTGAAGCCCTCGACCCCTGAAACCTTCTCGCTAAAAGTCTCTAGACTTCTCCTTTAAGGGATCTATAAGGGTTACTATAAAGATTCTATAAGGGTTTGGGGGGTACTTAAAGGATCATGGAACTTAGTAAGTAAGGTTATAGGCTCATAAGTATAGTTACCTTACTTATAACCCTACTTACTAAGTCCCACGATCCTCTAAGTACAGACCCCAGGCTGTTTCTGATGGCGCTACAGCAACCCCTCCTTAGAGCTCTGCCCTAAACCCTCAACCGATGAAGGCCCCTATGCACGGAAAAGTACTGGGGGAGACCTGAGGTTGCTTCTGATGGCGAAGTCCATAAACCCTAAGGCTCCATGTACCCATATAGTAGGTACTTAGGCCTTAAAGGGGTCCCCATATTGGTACTTTAAGGCCTAAGTACCTACTATATGGGTACATGGAGCCTTAGGGAAACTTCCAACGAGACTATTGCTTGGCGTTCTTCTGGTTGGCTCGTAGGACTTTGACTTGTTGGGTTTCTGTATGAACTCTAACAAGGTGGCTAAAAGTTCAACTTTCAGCAGGGGTTCAGAAGTCAGCCAAGATTGAATACATGATACACATATGCGAAACTATACCATATACGGACTATACAGAATTGTTTACTTCTAACATACTACACTACCGTATGCGCATTGAATCCTAAACCCTCCACTGTAGACTCTAGGAGTATACCTAAAACCAGGGTGCGTTGGGCACGTTTGCCCCGCACTTTCTTGTTGTGACGATGTTGCTGCTATGATCATCAAGATGATGTTGACATGATGATGTTGACATGATGATGACGCATGATGATGGCACGATATTGACATGATGATGACACATGATGATGATGATGACCTGATGATGGCACATGATGATGACCGTTTGGATCATGACATGATGATGACGATATTGCTGCCGATGCTGCTGCTCGCATTGATGGCGATCATGAGTTGATGATGACCGTGATGGTGATGCCTGTTGCTGGCAATGCTGGCAAGGCTGATGAGGCCCCGCTCCTTAAGCCCTCGACTTTACAGCCTTAACCTTGTCACCCCATATGTGAAGCCTTGGGCTTCAGAGGCCGTAGGCACTCGAGCCTCTCTAGCAATGGAAGTTGCTGGCGAGCTGGTTCTGCGCTGGAGCAGTCTGATCTGCGATGCGTGGACTGAGCTTAGTCACGACCTCACCGTCAGCGATGTTTGGCTTTTGTTAGTTCCCTGGGTCACTCTGTGAGTCATATGGGCAAAGCATCCTCTGTCAGAACCATAATGACGTCCATTGAAGCCGTACGCCTGACACTCTTTGCTTGGGAGCAGCAGCCAGGATGGACCAAACCCCGCCCCATAAGAGGGCGAGATTTGATCCCTCTTCATGCTCTCTCAAACTTGAGTTTTGGCAACCGGGCGAAGATCACTGCGACAAAGGTCACAATGGTGGGAGGCGACCAACGTGCAGAATCTCTCGCCGGGACGATCAAGAAGGCCTTGCGGAGAACGAATAAGCTCGGACAGAAATGCCTGAGCAAAGATCGTGACCACGTTGATGCCCTGGCGTCCTTCCACCTGAACCAAGAGCCTGGACTGCAGAGTGTCATCGATGCTGTGGTTGCTTACAGAGCCTTCTGTGAAGACAGAGTCTCTCCCGCTGTGGCCTGGACAGACACGTCCTGGCCAGGCCTCGCACAGTGACAGGCGTGCACACGCAAAAAGAGGTTCCCCTGCCGCGCAATTGCTCCAAGCATTCCCATTTTCAAACTACGAACTCCAAAGTTCGACCTCCTGAATGCACCTTTCCAAACCAGTTGCAGCAATATCATGTTCCAACAGTTTTCCTTGTCGTCATCTGTGTCGTCTCTCTTGTCGAATCCCAAATTCATCGTCCCTGCCAGCGTTTTCCTAGGTTTCTGATACGAGTTATGAAACACAACCATCACCATTCCAGCAACAACATTCTTCAAGCATGGCGTCTGCAGAAGAAAGTGCGGGGCAAACGTGCTCAACGCGTCCTAAAACCAGATTGAGATCCCTATAATATACGTTAAGGTATATTCCTAAATTGAGGTGGTTTTGGAGGCTCTGGGAACCGACTCTAAAGAAACCCTCTCCCTAAGACTCCATGTGCCCATACAGCAAGAAATTAGGCCTTCGAGGGGTCTCTATATGGTACTTTAAGGCCTAAGTATCTACTCTATTGGTACATGGAGCCTTTGGGTCCACCGTAGACTCTAAACTATAATACACGGCGATTTGGGCACGCACGAACCGCTTCGTCACCAACATCACGAATGCATTTCGGCACGGATTCTAAATGCATTCGGGACCGCGCACTCGGGGTTGGGAGGAGCATGGGGCCAAGTTGGACTTTTTCACGGCGATTTGAGCACGCACAATCCGCTTCGTCACCAACCTCGCGAATGCATTTTGGCACGGATTCGAAACGCGCAGCTCCAGCGCGGAGTGAAAAGGTCTCCATCGGAATCCTACCAGACTAAGCTTGCAGCTTCATATCCCGTATATTTAAACCTACTTCACGCCAAAGAAGCACAACCACTGCCTTCGATATACGAATGTTTCCATGTCCCGTATACTACAGTTGTACTACACTTCAGTAAGAGGTTCTTTCATGGGAAAACGATAAGAAGAAAAAACGATAACGCCATTTAGCGTATAGGAACTGAACACGGGTTTTCACACCACCCCATATGGGGACACCTTTAAGGCTTAAGTATCTACTATGTGGGTACATGGAGGCTTTTAGTCCACGGTAGATTCTAAAGTAAGCCAAGGTGGGTGGTTGTCACTCTTAGGGTCCCTTTTTGGGCACCCTAAATAATAGGTGCCGTGCTATAAGAGGGACTCAAAAAGGGACCCTAATTTTGAGAACCACCCAGGTTCCTTCTGATGGTGCAGTGGGGAGATGGTAGGCCGGAAGAAAACCGCTCCCTAACGGCGACTGGGCTCGGGATTAGGGTTTAGGGATTATAGGGTTTAGGGATTAGGGTTTAAGGATAGGGGTTTAGGGATTAGGGTTTAGGGATTATAAGGTTTTAGGGATTAGGGTTCAGGATTTAGGGTTTAGTGCTTAGGGCTCTCGAGTGCTATACTTATGTTTAAGGTATATGGCTGCTGCAAAGGGTAGTATACGTCGGGCTCTCCTTGGGTTTAGGGTCCGGGGTGGAGGTCGTGGGGTTCAGGATTTGGGGCTTTGTAAGGTTCGATTCTGAGTTTAATGCTTATTTGGGAGTTTCCGAACATCAGGTACCTTATTTTGGGGTCCTTGTAATAAGGATCCTACTATTGAGGGTGCTTTATTAGGGTCCCCTGTTTTCGGAAACTCCCATTTAGGGCTCCGGATTATTGTTTCGGAGTTGGGGCTCGGATCTGGCGCACTAGCGGTGTACGTGTCCCGTGTTCGTTGAGCCGCTGAAATCTCGCCCTAGCCCACAGGTGCAGGGAGCCCTGCAGCCGGAATCCGCAAACCCTAAACTCATACCTATAGTCTCGATTTTTTTGTGTTATAGGATCCTGACCATAAAACTGGTGAACCAAAACAAGGAACTACACTGGAGGCTTTGGGTAAGCCTGAATCCGCAGTCCCACACCCTACTTAGAGGTTCATGGCACTTAGTAACTAGGGTTATAAGTAAGGCGACTTTACTTATAACCCCAAGTAAGGTACTTATAACCTAACTTACTCAGTCCCATGATGCTTTAAATCGACCCTTCGACTCCTGGTCTGCTTTGCAAGACCCAGGTGATCAAAGCTGCCATGGATGGATCGGAGTTGAAGCGCCAGGTTGGGCCTCTGCTGTGCATTTGGGGCTAGAGGGGTTCTCGTTCTAGCTAGTGATAGGGCGCAGGGTTTACAGGGTCTGAGAGTTTCCGTGTTGAGCTTCCGAAGGTTTGGTATTTGCAGCTTGCAGGGTTTGGGGTTCCAGTTTAAGACTTTGGCTCTTAAACGCTTTACTGCATTGAGCGTTGTTTAAGTCTGAGGGTAACGAAGCATCTGAGCATTACCGCGCTTGAATGTTGGATCAATTTGCAGGTCGTGGATGGTGGGAAAGACGGCTTGGACATGGCCTCGAGGGCTTTTCCAAAGCAAAACTTTTCTCGGCTTTAGAGAGCACTTGTGATGATTGAGTTCGGTTTTTATAGGGCTGTATAATACAACTACATGGTCCAGGGCCCAGGAGTGTTCTCTTACCCTTTCATTTTTGAATCTCCTTATTCAATCAAACTGAAAAGTAGGAAACAAAGGGCAATCTAAGTTCAAATGAGTTGCTGGGGAACCTATATTCGGGGGCTCCAAATAGCCCCACGTAGGCACTATTTGTCCAAAATAGGCACTATTTGTATACTCGGAGCCCTCGGGATATGGCAAGGAGGCTTCAAGTCGAGTGTTATGTTCCCAAAGGGTCCTAGGTACTGTTATGGGAGATACTTCCCCAAATCATAATAGTAATTCCTGAAATAGAAACCCTACATTCTACTATACAGGTACGTTGGACCCTTTGGGGTTATGTTCATCAGACTTTCGGTTCTTTTGCCGTCCACAGCCTCTGTAAACCCTAGGCCGGGGTGTTCCTTGTGGACCAAGCTCCATGTTAAGTATCTACATTATGGCTCCAGGGGTCATATTCACATGTTTGAAGTAGAAAATTTGTCCTGCCCCCAAGGAGCTAAGCAGCTACAACAACCCGCCATAAACCCAAAACCGAGGTCTGTTTTGGTCACTACGATGGCCTGGCAGATCAGCCCCCACCCTACGGTGCTCAACTCTCTGTCGCCTATGCAGGCGGATTCTTGGAGCGACTTTACAAGCTCAAAGCTTTTCCAGTACATATACATCAGTTTTTAAACCTTTGAGCTGTAGTCTGTATGTGTTTTCGAGCCGATGAACTCGACAACTCAGGCTTGTTGGGTGTACACTTGGGGCGCTTCATGCACAAGTCCGATGCTTGTCGTCGAAGAAACCTCCGTTACACCCGACAAGTTCCGAACCTGACACTCCACACATAAAGCCAGGAATCCTTAAACGAAGTCTTTCCCAAAGGCCCCATGTACTTACACTACATAGTCGATACTTCGGCCTAGATCCACTTTACGGCCAAGGTACGCACTCTATGGGTATCTGGAGCCGGTTTGCCGTTTTTCAAACCCCAAAACTATCCCCAAACTCCTCGGACTTCAATCCCAAGATCGCTCAAGCTTTACTTGGAGAATCATGGGACTTAGTAAGTAAGGTCATGTGTACGTTCACTGGGGCTACGTATATCTACTTTACATATGTCCCTAGTTACTGAGTCTCATGGTCCCTCAACTAAATGCCTAAAACCCCTCAACCTTGAACCCTTAAACCTAAGGAAGATGGTTAAACCTAAGGAAGATGGGCTTAATCACCAAGCTGGCATCTGGCTTACCTTGAGCGCAGACACACTGCAGGTTGGGCCTGCGAGTTGAGGGCTTGAGGTTATCGGTTATGGGTGCGGTGTAGATACCTTTTCAGGTTTTGCCTGGGACTTCACCACATGGAGTTTTAGGACTTAAGCTTAGCCTAAGTTAAGATGGCGGGTTGTCCCTCTTCGTCGCCATTGCAGTTCCTTCTTTTTGGCTGGGTTGGCAAATGTCATCTTTAGGATGCCCTTCAGACTACAGATGCTGACCCAAAGGGTCCAATGTACTGCTATGGGGACTACTTCCCCAAACCATAATCGTAATTCCTAATATAGACCCTACATTCTACTATATCGGTACTTTGGACCCTTTGGGTGAAGCACCGGAGAACCTATGAACCTACACCTTAAACTTATTCCCAAGGCCCCTCGTAAATGCCCTTGCTCCAAAGCAACCTAACGACACTCGCTGACTTGCCCCCGAATGACCTAAGCCTCAACCCCGAAAGCCCTAAGCCCTAAACCCCAATATAAACTCTAACAGCGTGCCCCAAACTCTAAGCCCCAAACGCATAACATATCATTGAGACTTAGGTTGCCATTAAATTCATATTCGAATCCCTGAAGGTTCAACAGCCGCCTACGCGGACCACAAGCCACTCCCTGGACTCGGTAGTCACCACCAGCATGGATCGGCATGGATACCCCGAGCTCCCGGCCCTCAAGGCTCAAAAAAGGCTTAAAGGCTTAGGGTTTTGGGCTTTGGGTTTGGGGCTTTGGGTTTAGGGTTTGGGGCTTAGGGCTTTGGGTTTAGGGCTTGGGGTTTATGGTTTGGAGTTTGGGATTCCGTGTTTGGGGCTTGGGGCTGAGTTTTGGAGACTGCTCCTTTAATTTAGACAGCGTTGCCACAAGCAAAGCCGAAATCCTGCACGCTGAAATTGCAGCGAACCTAAACCCTGAAGTATGGGGGGTACTTAGATTTTTTTGATTTTTGTTTATTATAATCCCTAAGAAGCAGCTAAAATTACATCTTTTGCTAGGGTTTTAAGTTCAGTATAGTTTTAGTTTTCCCAGAGGCTCCCATTATGGAATTAGGTCCCAAAAGACCATCCCCACGAGGTTTAGGGAGCCTGAACATCCGAACGGTTGATGATATAGATCCTGCATGACCCATAATAAGGCATGTACCACATTTCTCATAGTTTAGGGTATGTTTAAGGTAATGCAGGATTTATATCATCAACCGAAGCACCAAAGGTTCCTCTGTTGCGACCTGGGCGATGCGTATCCCCGGGGTCTGCAGCTGCATTTTCATTAGCAACGTCTGTCTCTTCGAGTGTGGTCGCGGTTACTTGGAGGATCATGGGACTTAGTAAGGAAGGTTCTAAGTACCTTAATTGGGGTTATAAGTATAGGTACCTCACCTATAACCCTAGTTACTAAGTCCCATGATCCTTTAAGTAGTTGTTTGGGTGGAATAGAGATGTTGCGAAGAGTGAGAACTTGAAAAGACAACTCTGGTAGAACTACCTTTCTTAGTTCTAAGCAATCGTGAGATTACAGGTCATTCTAGCAGTGGTGGTCATGTCTGCAGGCACACACAGCCGTCATCATCATAGTTTCCCAGCTGAACCCCGGGACTGGGCACTCAGCCCTAAGAGAAGCTTAACAAACTCGCAATGTCATGCAATGCTTGCCTTGCTGTAAGCATAGCATAGTCTTCTGACTACTGACGCTCGTACATGAGGACCCCTCACAGCAGCCTTTGCAGTACCCCTCACAGAGCATCCTTAAAAGCCTCGCTACTAAACCCCAAACCCCTACTGTACACCCGAAACCCCTTAACCCGAAACCCGTAACGCCCTAGACCCTTCAGCCCAAAACCGCTAAGCACAAAAACCCTAAACCCAAAACCCCTAAAGCCCCAAAGCTTACGCCCTAAACCCTAAACCCTAAGGCACCTGCACCGCTTCGTGAACCGGGCTTTCAGTGGCGGGAACCAGAGCCTCGTCGTCTACTCCTACAAATGCCGCCATGGGGAGGACCCTCAGCCCTGAACCTTAAATTCGAACCCTCAACGCTCCGTCTATGAAAGGAGAATAACAAATATCTAGTTTAAAAAATACATGTGTATACATACACATATATATATATATATATATATATATATATGTATTACTGCGTTTCCGCCGAAGCCCTGGAGGTCCCGAAGAACGACGCAGGTATGGAGTTCGACACCTATGAGTCACTCAACAAGGAGAATGCCCCGACCTACTACAAGCCGGGGGGGAGGGTTGGTGTGGCGGTTCCGGCTTGATCAAGCCAGTAGTTACTAATTTCACTATTGTTAATACATCTACACATGCAGCAGCTGCTACTGGAATCGACAGATCTGGTTGCGGCTAATCTAACCTGGGATCCTTTTCGGGATACATACAGCAACAGTGCATCCCTGATTCAATAAGCACTTCGCTCGGCTAGTCTGGCGAAGTCCCAAACACGAGTCCCTCAACCTCAGGCCAGAAGTCTAACTGCGAAACAACGCCAGAAGCCCAATTGAGCCCATCAGCCGTTTTCCCCGCAACCCTACACCCTAACCCCTGCACCCCCTACAGGTGGAGCAACGACAACGCTTGCTACACCGAGCTCGGTGGCGTCGCTGCGCTGGGAAGCTCCGTCCTTGTAGCTTTTGCAGGTGAAGGCGCCCCAATCACTTGGAGGATCATGGGACTTAGTAACTGGGAGTTTCCGAAAATAGGGGTACCTTTTTGGGGGGCTCCTTATAATAAGGATCCTACTATTTAGGGTACTATATTAAGGTCCCCTTTTTTCGGAAACTCCCAAGTAAGGATCGTTAAAGGGTTCCTTAAAGGGATCCTTAAAGGTCTCCTTACAGGGATCTATAAGGGATGTATGGGACTCCCCAGAGACCCCGAATCTCCTGCACCCCGAAGCCCGAAAGGGAGTTTCCGAATTGTCGGGGGCAACTCCCCCACTTACAGGATCCTGGGACTTAGTAAGAAAGCTTATGTAACCCTAAGGGTCCAAGTACCCAAATAGTAGGGTTTCAAGGTCCAAAAACCATTCAGGGTATGGATTTTGGGATTTAAAACCCTATTATTTGGGTACTTGGACCCTCTGGGTAATTATAGCTACAGTTACCTCCCTGTAACCCTCAGCCCTGAAGCCTTGGACTCCAGGCCCAAAAAGCGCTCAAATTCCACCGTAACTGTAGGACCCTCGCAGATCCCTGTGCAGATCGCTTTACAGGAACCCTTTACGGAAACTTGAAAACATCCCCAAACCCTGTCTCAGAATGATCCGCCAGTTCCAGAAGCCACTAACCACCCACAAAGCCTTTCATAGACCGCGTCAGAGATCCCTTGAAGAGGCACCCTAAATTATGGAACCCCATGGTACCACTTGAGGCGATTATAGAATCCTATCCAACCCTTCAAGGGGGACCCTAGAAACTTATGTTATCCTTGAAAGGAGCCCTTAAAGGAACCTTCCCAAGCCCTAAGTTGGGCAGGTTCCCGGAGCCTGGACTGCTTGTCATCGGAAGCTTTTGCGTCGGCACCCTCCGAAAGGCCGGCGTTTCTGGTTTGGTTGTGTGCGGCCATGCCGTATAATGTGCATAAGAACTATCATACCTAAGCACTCAACAAATAAACAAATCCTTAAACTCACACTCACACACCTGACTCCTTGCAGTGAAATCTGTTTCTGCCAGTGGCTCCAGTTGCAGTTTGGCAAAAAGACTCAGAGCCACTATCCTAGCACACTATCCTAGACCCTAGACTCTGAACCTTCTTTGGGACTGCAGGCAGGTCCGTTGTGGAATTCTTATACTAACTTGCTAGAGCCTGTCGAAGCAGAAGGAACCCTAAACCCCAATGGCTACTTATGTCCTGGGGATTTGCCTACAGCTCCGTGTACCTAGTGCTCCTAGAATGAAGGCCGCGAGCCTGAGTATGTAGGCCTTGATGGGGTTCCTATAACATTGGTACTTTATGAAGGCCTACAAGGCCTAAGTATATACTACATAGGCACTTCAAGGGGTTCCTTTCCTAACCTTTAGGGCGCTAAGCCTAAGTACATACTACATTGGTACATGGGAGTTCCGAAAATAGGGGACCCTAATATGATACAGTACCCTAAATAGTAAGATTCTTTTTATAAGGACCCCAAAATAAGGTAGCCCTAATTTTCTGAAGCCTCACATGCAGTCTTTGGGTTCGCCAGGCATCGGATCACTCCGCGGAACCTGGGCGTCGTGTCGGTCCGCAAGAACTGGGAGGGACCCAAGGATGACGTGTCTTGGTTTTACATCCTCACTTGGATCATTGGCTTTTTTAAGTAGGTTATAGCTTTTAAGTACCCCCAAGGGTCCAAAGGACTCAGTAATCAGGTACCTGGAGCTAGGATAGTAGTTAGAGTATATGATGATGGAGTACTTGGACCCTTAGGGTACAAACTCTGGAAGCTCCTCGCCGAAGTCTTTCTTTGTTTTGAGGGTCCAGGATTTAGCCTTTAGGGCCGGGGTTTAGGATTTAGGGTTGAGGGTTTAGGCTTTTAGGATTTATGGCTTGGGGTTTATTGTTTAGGATTTTGGATTTAAGGTTTCGGGAGAAGTCCTACTTGAAGGAACAGGGGCCGTAGTAGGTAGCTTATAAGAACAAATATATAGTTATGTATAGGTGTGTGTATATGTATGTATGTATATGTATATATGTATATATATATATATATATATATATATATGGCATATATATATATATATATAATGGCTGAACCCGGAATCCAAGCCTGAGCCAGACACCTATCAAGCCGCGAAGCCCAAACCCATCTTATAAGCAAGCGTAAGGCTTTAGCTGCCTGGATAAGAACAAGCCTATAGATATGCGACGATGCCCCACAAATAGGGATCCTTATCAGGGCTATATTAGGCAGTATTAGGAACAGATAAACAGACCACCAGCCTGTTTAAGGTCTGGAGCTCGAAGAGCGCTTACAGCCACAAGGGCGGCTTTTATGCCTTCCGCGGTGAGTGGCAAGAGCAGGCGACCCTTTAAGGGATCTATGAGGGTTCCTAGAGGGGTTCCTTTAAGGGGTCTATAGGGTTTAGGGTTTAGGGGTTTCGGGTTTAGGGTTCATGTGCAGGGGTTCAGGGGTTTAGGGGTTCAGGGGTTCAGGGTTTAGCCCTCTTAAGCCCTGGATCCCGAAATCCTAAACTACGCCCGAATTCCCGAAACCCTAAGTTAAGTCGCCAGATCCGAAATCCCTTATACCCTAAACCCGAATCCAGTCTGGAGGACGTAAGCGAACGACCGGCGCTGGGTTAAAGGTCTATAAGGTTTTGGTGTTTCGGGTTCGGGTTTGCCAAAACCATCGAAAGTAAGTAGAAGAACGGCCCAACCATTCAAAAAGCAACATCAGTCTGCAAATGTTTGGTCCAGGTAGGGGGATTAATTGGTGTGGCTATAACCCCATTTCTTCAAAATCACAGAGGCCGTGCAGAACATCTGCTGGCTTACGGACCTCAAGGGGGATGCAAACGTCTCGCGCCTGAAACTTAGATGGCCAATGGCAGAACTTTCAGGTGTTGGCTTTATATATCTAGTCTATGATAGAAGTTTGAACTTTTCGGGGCCCTAAATCCCAAACCCTAAACCTTAAACCCTACACCTGATATCCTAAACCCTGCTGTAATCCCTTTCAACCCTGTAAACCCTATAAGCCCTTTAAGCCCTATAATCCATGTAACCCCTATAAGCCCGACTGTAGCTATAAACCCGAAACCCCAAACTCTAAAGCCCAGGAAAGCCTGCGCCATGGGTGGTCAAGTGCTGCTGCTTTGGGAGCTCTGGGGTTCCTCGTCCTTTGTGGTTTCAGGGTCATAGGTACTAGGGTTCAGGGTTTAGGATTTAGGGTTTAGGGCCTAGGGTCAGGGTTTGGTTTTTTTTGGTTTAGGGTTCAGGGTTCTACCTAAGTACCTGAGTACTCTTTTGCCCTTTTTACGAATGTTACTTCAGGGTTCCTCATGCTAAAACCGAATAGTACCGAATAGTAGGAACAAGAGTACCCTTCTGATACAGGGGCTATTCAGGAACCTGGCTGACTCGGATATTCTGTCAGAGTTTAGGGTAAGGGTCCCAGGTAGTATTATGTTAGGGTTTAGGGCTTAGGATTTAGGTTAGGGATTTTAGGTAATATTATGTGAGGGTTTAGGGTCTAGGGTAAGGGTCCAAGGTACCATTATGTTAGGGCTTAGGGTTACAGGGTCCTAGGTACTATTGGGGGGGATAATTCGGTATTAAACCCACAGTCAGGGTGTATGGTTCGGGTTCGGGCCGTGCAGGCAGAAGCTACGTCACCACATGCGCACAGTGCGTGGACGAGAAGGGTGAGGCAGTTGGCGAGCAGATCAACCTTGGTACGCGGATCAGGCACATCTCTTCTGGATCTTTGGGAGTAAAACCTCATGCCAAATCTCAGCGATGCGGGTTTAGGGTTGGATTTATTACGTTATTACGGTTTAGGGTTCAGAGTGGGGGTCGGTTGTTCAGGCTCTAATAATTAGCGGTTTAGGGTTTAGGGTTTAGGGCTTAGGGACTCTAATATTCGGCTGCTAATTCTCGTTAAACTCTTTGCGCAGCGTTTGCCGGTGCCTAAACTCGCAAGTCTCTGTAACCCAGATTGCGTGCCTCAAGCCATCAGCTAACCCCTCACACTGGCTCTCGCTGATTCACAGACCAGGTACTTATACAATGGCAACATCAACATGTTTCTGTCTCGTGGATTGTGTTTTTGAGTAGTTCTGGGTTCAGAATTCGTTAATTTATGTTCCGCTGAAAAATGTGCTTCTGCGTGCGAAGGCTGCTTCAATGCTCCACACTTTCAGCTGACCCCCTCACGCCCCGTATAGAAACCTTACAAAGATCAGCCGTAAATTCTTGCAATGGTCCATACATACCCCGGAACTACAGACCCAAAACCCCCAACCCCGAAGTCCGAAGCCATTAAACACTAAACCTCCAGCTGCCTGCCCAAACCGCAAACCCCTAAACCCCCGGTTCCTTTAAGGATCCCTTTTAAGGGTTCCTTTACAGTAGTAGCCTGAAAGTTGGAACAGCATCATCCTCATGCCCTTAAGGTGAAGTAGAAGGGATCCTGGCACGAATTCTCCTAAAATCATGTTCCAACTTTCTGGCTTCTACTGTAAGGGGTCCCTTTAAGGGGTCCCTTCAAAGGCCCCTGCACCCTGAACCCTAAACCCCTAAACCCTATAAAGCCCTAAATCCCCAAACCGTAAACCCGAAACCCCCTGTAAAAGCTCTACACTCCTAAATCCCTAAAACCATAAGGGTCCCTTTAAGGGGGGTCCCTTTAAAGGCCCCTGCACAGGTTGAGCCGGCGGAGCGACCCAGTGGCGACAGCACTCGGAGATCTCATTGTCGCGAGCCTTGGCTCGCAGGCCTAGGGCTTTTAGGGTTTTAGCAGGGCTTAGGGGTTTTAGGGGTAGAGGTTTTGGGGTTTAGGGCGTTTAGGGTTTGAATAGGCTTGAGGTTTAATTAGGGATTAGGGGTTTACGGTTCAGGGAATTTAGGAATTAGGGTAGTGGAGTAGGTAACCTTTAACCTAAAGGCTTTTGTTTGGGGGCCTTTGCAAGTGTTTGTAGCAGTCTCGGTCTCAGGGCATACAGGTTTTGGGGTCAAAGGACCTGTTGTATGGGTAATTTGCAGGGTTTAGGGCCAGGGCTTTGTGAGGGTTTCATAGGGTTTGGTAGGGTTTCCCTACAGGTTATTCGCGAGGGTTTTAGACGTGGTTTGAGGGCTTAGAGCATGAGGACTATCGTTGTTTTGTTGACGGCTGTGCATCCGGCGCTTCAGGACCTTAGGGCCGCAGGGGGTGTGGATTGTACCGGTGAGAGTTTGGGGATAACTCCGCATGATCGTTAGATAAAGTTCATCATGCCCTGTGAATAAAAATGCAAGCAATACCATAGCCAACCAAAAAAATCAACAACCAATTGAACCATGTCGGTATACATATATATATATATATATATACATGTATATATGTATATATGTATATATGTATTATCCAAACTGCACGTGGTGTTCCTCTAGCCCAAAAGTATTTACATGCGTTCATACTTCCATATAACATAATAATAGTGATAACCGAAGCCATCATACACGACCTTGAACTCAAAGCAGATCTTTTCACCGAGGCAGCGCCAGGAAAGCGAAGAGGGCCCACAGCTGCAGATCACCGTCCTCTCCACGGGATTGGCAAGCAAAGCTACGGAGGAGGGGGACGAAGAGGCTGGGTAGAGGTTTTCCGCTGAACTACCAGAAGATTCTTTTTGTTGCAGGGTTGTATATGAAGAGGGCATATAGTAGCTAGATATCGATGTGGGGTAACTTTCTGATTTCCTTTTTTGGTTAACATAAGCTTGAATTATATGATAGTTTGGGCACTATTCAAATTGACACCCAGTATATGCCATGTGACCAGCCAAGGTTTCCTCGAAGGGTTCCTCAATGAAGCTCTGTAAGGGTTCTATAGTACGCGGTGTTATGGGGTCCATGTACCCAACAACTTAAAGCATCTATATAGGAACCCTTATAGGGCCTAAGTATCACTATCTATATAGGTGCATGGACCCCCCCCAGAAGGTTAAGTTTATATAACAACATGAGTACGCCTATATCGGCGCTTAACATCACAGCTCATTATCCCTTCAAGACTGCAGTGGGAAACCAACCACCGAACCCATTCCAATAAGGAGTCTACGCCCCTGGTACTTGAAACACTGATCTTAAGGGCAGCTGGTACTCATAAGCCCAACAGTTGGCCCCTAAATCAAACATAGATTCCTCAAGGTATATCAGGCTTCTTACCTATAACATGAGTTTATGGAGTATTGCTTGTGTCAGGGGTGTTGGGCTCTTCGGATACATCCATCAAATCCTGTCAGTGCTGGTTTTCTTGGCTTTCTTCTGGTTGGCTCTTAGGACTTTAACTTCTTGGGTTTCTATATGAACTATAATAAGGAGGCTGAAAGTTTAACTTTTAGCAGGGGCTGAGAAGTCAGCCAAGTATATTATAGGGCCCTTACAGTATACCTTATAGTAACCCTTATAGACCCCTTTAAAAGAACCCTCAATCCTATTTTCATAGGAGTGATCCCCTGCAGGTCACCCCGGAAGAGCTGTCTGCCGGTGGCAAGCGGAAGTTTAAGTTCTCGCGCATGACGCTGTGCTCTGGGCCTGTGTGGTTAAGAGTTTAGGCTTTCAGGGTTTAGGGGTTCAGGGATTTAGGGTTTATGAGGGTTTTGGGGGATTGAGAATTTAATGGAGGGGCCTTAATAATTAATTACCAATACTATTTTGTGGGGGTTTCTTGTTATACTTAACTAATACAGTAATTATATTGGGCCCGAAAACCCTATTCTAATGATCCAGGCGCACATGTTTGTGGCAGTTTACGGCTTATATAGGGGTGAAGGGACCTCAAATCCACAACCCTAAACCCTACTTGACGGAGAAGTGACCTTAGTAGCTACCGTTGCTGAAACCCCACATGCTACAAGCCCAAACCCCTAGGCCCTACACGATTAAGCACCTACACCTTCAACCCACTTACCCAAAGGTTCCCAAGTACCTACTACTATATAGTAGAATGTGGGGTTTCTATATGAGAAATCAGTAATGATCCTTATGATGACTTGGGAAAGTATATTCCTCATAGCAGTACCTAGGATCCTTTGGGTTACTCGGTCTCCGGATCTTGCGCCGCAAGCCGCACCATGGGATGAACAATAACCTACGCCTTGCCCCGGCAGGTTTCTGTTTCTGGGCTCTTGTTAAGGGATTAACCCAAAGGCACCATGTGCCCATACAGTAGGTACTTAGGCCTTATAAAGGGGTCCCTATATATAAGTACTTTCCTTGGTACCTACTATATAGGTACATGGAGCCTTAGGGTAAGATACCATGTTATTCACTATAGATCCCTATTATGGTAACTTGAATTCAGTTCTTTGCATGAACTCATTCTTCTCTTCGGTGCGGGTTGACTTGGCTCGTCTGGGCTTGGCTTGGCTTGTAAGCCTGATTGACGGGCTCAGGGGAGCACAACTCTCAATGCAGGGAGATTGAAATGTTGCTTGTTTTGAAGGGGCGATGGGGGAGGGGGGGGCGGCAAGACACACACAGCACAACATTCTACCTCGCTATATGCTTGTACATATACCTCTATATACACATATGTACATATATATATATATATGTATATATAGGTATGTATGTATGTATATATATATACATACATACACACGCATACATACTGATGGTATTCATCAAAGCCCAGTTCTAATCATTCTAATCACTGGGGGCCCTAGGTGCCCTCGGGTTGGTAAGCCCGCCATGAGCCTCAAACGCCGAGAGCCCTTCAAACAGACCCGAAGTCTTCTGAGAAAGGAGCGAGACAGGAAGAGAGAGACAGAGAGAGCGAGAGCGGGAGATAGAGAGAAAGAGAGAGAGAGAGAGAGAGAGAGAGAGAGAGAGCGAGAGAGAGAGAGAGAGAGCAAGAGAGAAAGGGAGACAGAGAGAGAGAGAGAGAGAGGTTAGAGAGGGAGATGGAGAGGGAGCGAGAGAGAGTTTCTCGTATAAGTCCATAGATGGGTAGGTGTTCCGGATCCAGGGAGCTCATGCACTGGAAACCTGTCTTGACTTGTTTTACCTCACGCCGAAGCCGAGGCGCTTGAAAGCCGTGCTGGAGTATTGCCGTGAGGCTAACGCTGGGAAAAACACCTGGCAGTCCGGAACATTGGGTGAGGTGGGAACGCTGGCAGTTGTTCTTGTTATGATGATTGCTACTACTATTACTACTATTGCTACTCTTGCTATTATCATTACTATTGAAATTATTGTTGGCAGTGAGGCTTTAGGGGTTGAGGGAACCGATAATTTCGTGCTCAGCATGGACGTGGTATCAACATGCAGCGCGCATTTCCGGAAGAGTCAGCCCTAAACCCCCAAACCCCGAATCCCCCAAACGCTAAACCAAGATCTCATAGCAAGCATGCGCCAGTGCCAGGTGACGTGGGAGGAGGCATGTCAACATGCCTTCGCCCACGAGAACTTCGTGGACGTCATTTTCGATCCTGACGGCTTCACCAAAGAAGCTCCGATGCTGAAAGTGCGGCTGCCGGTGTATCTCAAAGGTGACACGATGCTCGGCCCCTAAGCACTGCTCAACCCACAGCAATCCCGAACCCTAAATCTTGAGGCCTTATAATCAAACTAGCCATTAACTACTACCCTTCACGGTCCAAGTACCTAATAATCACATATACTCGCTATAGTATATGCCTAGACTTCTAGTATCCTCAGGCGAAATTAGCCTAATTCCATCCTAAAACACTAGGTGGCAATTTGGGATTTGCTCAATTTCCTTTATGGTTCCCGCAGAGGACCTATTCATAAATACTTTTCAGAGCCCTAAACCTGTTAAAACCCAGAAAAACTTAAAGTCCCAAACAGTGAACCTTCGACTAGCGCCCTGTTAGCCCTAAGCTTCTTAAACAAAGCTTACAAGTAATGTTTCGTTGTTTTTTGGTTGATGAGGGTCGAAGCTCCTGATGCAGTTGCTTTATTCTGGGACGCTAAACTTAGGGTTTAGGGTTTCCCAAAGGCTCCATGTACCCTTATAGTAGATACTTAAACCTCACAGGGGTCCCTATATAGCTACTTTAAGGCCTACGTATATACTACAAGGGTACATGGAGCCTTGGGGTTTAGGGCTTAGGCCAGCTCTGGGTGATTCTGGGCGTGAGTCCGAGCAAAAAGGTTTCAAGGCGAGCGTAGTCTGGCTTACTAGGGCACGTCACCTGGCGGGTCCAAGCGCCCAAATAGCAGGGTTTTAGGCAGGGTTCAAGGGTTCTAGGTACCCAAACCAATTCAAGATGAAGTTCCTTATCTTAAACTAGGTACTTGTGTGCCCTGAAACTATTACAGAAGCCTTCCCAGAGGCCTTTTGGAACCATATAGAGCCATGTAAATCACCTACCATGAGACCCTCATCGTCAGGAACTCTTGCATCACAACCTTCACTGTCGTCCCCGCCGGGAAGAAGAAGGCCGTCGACTACAGCAAGGCCGCTGCAAAGACCAGCACGAAGAAGAAAGTCTCCAAATAACCCAGAGGGTCCCTATGCACTAGGGTTCTTTCAAGGGATCCTTTGAGGGTTCCGTTAAGGGTTCTACAGGGTTTAGGGTGTAGGGTCCATATATACTACCATTGTGGAATTAGTAGGTCCCAAAAGACCATAAAGGGAGCCTCTGAGCAAGCGGAGCGACTGTTTGCAACCCACTCAATGGTTCCAATGATGATCCGGTTTCGATCCCGCCCGTTTATCGGCTCTTGTTTGAACCCCTTACGTCACAGGTCATGGGTAGCGTAAGGTGTATATAGACCTAAGGGTCCAAGTACCGAATACTCTCGCAAATAAGCACCCAAGTATGGGATCCTTTGGACCCTTACAGTAAAAGCCAGAAAGTTGGAATATGATTATCCTAACCCTTCTATGGTAAATTATAGGGTATCCTACCATGAATCCATATTCCAACTTTCTGGAGTTCCCTTTAGGGTGTAGGGTTTGAGGGAAGGGAATCCCAGAACTTGTATTGAGTGCTTGTGCGCAGCAGCTGCCATTGTTTTTGCGACATGCTCGCCGCCGGCATCAAAGACATGCCTTCCCAAGGCTCCATGTGCCCATATAGTAGGTACTTCGTCTTTAAAGGGGTCTCTATATATAGGTACTTTAAGGCCAAAGTACCTACTATGTGGGTACATGGAGCCTTAGGGCCTTGCAATGCGCATCGCAAAGGCCGATGCGCGCTTTCAGACATCAATGCTGAAGTCTTGCATATTGGCTTTGGAAAGAGCCGTGCGCATGTTGCCTGGGCAGGGAGTATCATGGTGCTGTATCACGCTATACGGGAGAGAGAGAGAGAGAGAGAGAGAGAGAGAGAGAGAGAGAGAGAGGGAGAGAGAGACAGAGAGACAGAGAGAGAGAGAGAGAGAGAGACGGAGAGCGCGAGAGAGAGAGAGAGAGAGACAGAGAGACAGAGAGACAGAGCAAGAGAGAGAGGGAAAGCGAAAGAGAGAGAGAGAGAGAGATCGAGAAAGAGCGAGAGAGGGAGGAGAGAAAGATGGAGACGGACAGACAGAGAGACAGAGACGTATGATTGATTCAACAATGGTGACAGCCTGCCGCTCTTTTTTCTCGTCCTAAACAATCTCCACCACACCTTTTTAAGTGTGTCTGAGAGTTTTTGGGCCTCCAAGAAGGAACCTTCCTGAACCCTAAACAACGGTTTAGGGGCACTTAGAAATATTTTTTTCATTTTTGGTTGTTACAATCCCTAAGAAACAGCTAAAATTCTAATTTTTGCTAGGGTTCTAAGTTCAGTATAGGGTTTAGGGGCCTAGGGTTTAGGGCCCGGATCAGCTTTGACTTGCAAGCCTCTGAGCACCCCCTTGGTCTGCTTTAGGGTGAAGTAGAAACCATAAAGTTCTAACATCAGTATCCGCATGCCCTTAATAGGTGATGTATAGCCTAATGAAGGGGATCCCAGCAATGATCATCCTACATCCATGTTCCCATGAATTTTCTGGGGTTGGTTCACTCTAAAGGACCCTGATTCGCACTCACAGAAGCCACTCAGCCCCGCTAAAACCATAATGCGGAGGCATAAACAGCCCTTAACCCCATAACCCTCATGTCCGTTGAACCATGAACCCTAAAACCCTGAAGCCCAAAACCTTAAATCCCAATAAAAACCCTAACTTAGGCTTCTACAAACCCGCTACCCTAAAACCCTAAGACCCTAAACCCTAAAGCCCTAACCCCTTGAAGAGAGCTCGCCATCTGGCATCTCGGCTCCCAGCGCCGCGGAGAGCGCCGGGGTCCCCGGGGGCCTGTGAGGCTGCTTTGGGGATGGCCAGCGACAGGCAAAGGGCTGGGTAGGGCGGGGAGGGGTTGGGCCTTTAAGGATTGCTGCGTGTTTGTTGTTCGATTGGGCGTTCTTTCTTTGGCGGCTACTTTGAAAGCCTTGCTATTGTGTATGTTTTAGGAGATTACCGTATTATAGCTTTCCACAGGTTTCTCTCAATGTTGTTATCGCTATGTTCGTTGTTAAGCATTTTGTAGTTTTGTATCCTTGCTAGGTAGTATATGTTCGGGAGACCCCTTAAAGGGGACCCTTCTTAATCCTACTTCTGGCTACTTCTGGCTCTCTTAACCGGGACCTTATTGAGAGGGTCTATATCCCCAAGTGTCCCCCTAGTCCTAACTCCGAGTCTTTGATGGTTACATTAAGAGCTCCTCACGGGTTATGGTGGGCTGTGTTAATGACTGTTGATATCGTTTTACATATACGGCTCCTTTTATAAACGATGTTCGGATTGCAGTAGGGTTTTCGGGAAGTTGCTTTCAAGGGCTACTTCAGCATGTTCTGTGAGGTCTTGCTGTTGCACTTAGCTGTCCTTGAAGGGTTTGTTTTCTGATGATTTCACTCTGTGTGTGTGTGTGTGCGTGCGTGTGTGCGTGTGTGCCTGCGTGTGTGCCTGCGTGTGTGTGTGTGTGTGTGTGTGTGTGTGTGTGTGTGTGTGTGTGTGTGTGTGTGTGTTGTTTCTCAAGCCCTAGCACCTGAAGCAGAACCGGAGCCCTCAAAACCTAAAGCAACAGGGAAAAACCGATGAACGCTTGCCTGACGGTGGGATCATCCCATATAGTAGGTACTTAGGCCTTAAAGTACCTATATAGGGACCCCTTTAACATGGATACATGAGCCTTAGGGCGTGGAATCATGGGATTACGCGGTAGGGCTTTCCGGGCGTAGCGATGTTCGGGGAAGTATCTGAAGGCCTTCGAAGTCAAGACTTGTCGTGTAGGGTGACTTCCCAAAGGGTCCTAAGTCCTAACTACCTATATAGTAGACTAGTAGCGTGTAGGGTTTCCATCTTAAAGTGAAGTAGGAACTACCATCATGATTTGGGGAAGCTCCCCCATCACAGTACTTGGGACCTTTTGGGATTAGACTGATTTCTGGCTGTTTCATCTCGGGGATTTATGATCAGTTGCAACATCCACCCACAACACTATGATCCTAATTCACGGACCCGCTTGTATCCACCCAAAATACGAGGATCCTTATCGATGGACCCGTGAATCTCCATCCTACCTATGGCCTCCATTGTAGTTTCTTTTTTTGGTTAGCCAGTTTTATGGTTAGGATCCTATAATAAAGATTTTGGTCAACCAAAAAAAGGAACTACAATGGAGACTACAGGTAAACATGAGGATCCTAACTAAGGGACCCACGTGATTGCTCAAAAAGCAACTTCAGAGAGCTCTCAGGGGTGGCGCGCTGGTCACCCTCGCGGAAGCCTCGGCTCAGAGCTTCGAAGTGGGAAGTTCTTTAATTAGGGTCCCTGTTTGGGTGCCCACAACAGTGGTATAGGGTTTATAGAGAATAGGGTACATGTTTAGGTTCCCCAGAATAGCGTGGCACCACTGCAAAACGATGGCCGGTGTACTCAAAAGTGTAGTTGTCATGGCATCCGAACGCGGACAGGGGGTTTCGGGGTTTAGGCGCTGGTGATGACGGTCGTGATGCGCGTGGGCACGATCGATTCCTTCGACTCGGCGAAAATCCCAGCCAGCGAGCCCGGGACACTACCCTCCAAAAACGTCCAGCGTGTTGCTGCTCGTATGGGGTGTTATCCTTCTCCTGCCGCCTTCGGTCACTCCGCGCCGGTCGCTGGTTCGTCATCGCAAGGTGGTCAAGATGGCGCAGATGGTGGTGACTCTGCCGGTCCTGGCAACGGCAAAGGCAAAGGTGATGGAGGAAAATGACCCCAACCATAAATTTTGTTAAATTAAACCAAAGCGAGGAACTAGCATGGAGACTACAGCCGGGAGGTTAAGGCCCAAAGAACCTAATAATCCACCTTCCCAAGATGTTGTCTCGAGTTCGGGGTTTCCGTGTTGGGGTTGAGGTCTTCCCATCCCCCCTTTTCGGACCATGTTGGTTTTTGGAAGTTTAAGACCCGGAAGAGTGTCCATGTGCCTCTATAGTATGGGTTCGTGTTGTAGGGATCTTTAAAAAACTAATATGGTTTCCTGATTATGGTAACTTAAACTAACTCCCTCAACAAGACCCCAGTAGTGGATTGCAGTGGCGCCCTAAAGCATGGCATCCTCGAGCTCGTATGCACCGTCTTCATGAATTCAACGACCCTGATCCGAGCTACTAAAAGGCTCATGGGACTTAGTGAGTAAGGTTATAATTAGGTTATAATTAGGATAACCCCACTTAGGGGACTTATAACCCAGTTATAATCTACTTACTAAGTCCCATGATCCTTCAAGTAGGCAAGATCCTACATGCTGACACCTGAACCTGGAGTGTGTATGAACCCTTTTATAGGAACCCTAGTTACCCGAGTCCCATGATGCCTTTAGTACCCCGGAAACCCTTCATAGTAACTAGTTCAAAGAGTCCCATGATGTTTTTAGTAAACCTTAGAAGCTGCCCCCACCCTGTACTAGTGACCATAAGGATTATATAGGATCATTTTAGGGCCCTACTATATTCCTATTATACCACTATTACAGGGTGGGGGCAGCTTCTGAAGTAAACCTTTTTGAAGGATGCCTAGTTAATAGAGTCCCATGATGCTTTTAGTACCCCTCGGAAGCCCTTAATAGTAACCCTTATGGATGCTTTGAAGGAACCCTTGCAAAGGAACCCGAGTTACTAGACTCCCATGATGCTTTTCGTACCCCCCGGAAACCTTAGAAATAGTACTATTACCTTCTTATTCCGAGGGTTCCTTATTATATGTATAGTATAAGGGGCCCCCAAAACCCTATTCTATTTATGAAGGCCCCTAGTGTAACCCTTATGGATCCCTAGAAACCCGAGGCTTCCGAGGATGCATCAACCCTAAACCCACAGGTTGCTTAGCCACCCCAAACCCTGAGCCCTTATTCTACTCTACGTCACTATCCCTAGGCATCTAGGGACTCATATAGTAAGGCTTTTGGGCCTAAAGACCATACTATATAAGGCTTTTGGGCTATTTTGATGCAGGGCATACCATGCTAAACCGTAATGCCTAAACCCTAAACCTTAAGACCCTATTCCCGAAAATATACTAGGCCCTGAGCCCTGAACCCTAATGCCTCAGGTTTCCGAAACCTTAAACCCTAAACCTTAAACCCTAAATGCGAAAATCTAGAAGGCCCTAAACCCTAAGCCCTAAACCCAACCCTAAGCCCTAAACCCTAATGCCTCAGGTTTCCGCAACCCTAAACCCTGAACCGTACCCTAATGCTTCAGGTTTCCGAAACCAACCTATTCCCAACCAAAAACTTCGAGCTGCCCAGCTGCGAAGAGCGTGCGGCGGCCCAGGTGTTGAAATCATCGGTACTTTAGGGGTTTTGAGGGTTTTAGAATTTAATTTTCTAGGTTCTACGGTTCAGGGTTGAGGGCTCAGGGTGTGAGGGTGTGAGGGATTCAGGGTTTTAGGGTTTAGGGTGCTAAGTTTTAGGCATAGGGTGTTAGGGTTCTAGGGTTTAGGGTGTTGTGTTAGGGTTTTAGGTTTACGGTGTTAGGGTTCTTGGGTTTAGGGGTAGAGTTCAGGGTTTTTAATTTCAGGGTTTTAGGGTTCTAGCGTTTCGGGTTAGGGGTTCTGCTTTTGGAGTTTATGGTTTTAGGTATTTTGGGTTTAGGGTTTTAGGCATCTAGGGTTTTCGAGTTTCAGGGTTCTAGGGTTCAGGGTTTTAGGGTTTCGAGTGCTAGGGTTTCAGAGTCGAGGGTTTAGGGTGTTAGGGTCTTAGTTTTCAGGGCTTTCGGGTTTTAGAGTTTAGGGTGTGAGGGTTTTTCGTTCTACTGGTTTAGGGTTTATGCTTTTAGGGTTTAGGGGGTGGTGGGTCCGGGGTAAGGAGTTAGGATGAAGGCTCCGGTTTCAGGAGGTGGGGTTGAGGGGTCGGGGGATAGGGTTTCAGGTTTTAAGTGGTTTGGGTGTTGTTATGAGCTTTACAGGGCTTTCGGGATTAATCTAGGGGCCAGAACAATTTCATCGGTATCTATGCAGGTTCTAGACGGTTCTGTAAAGGTTCGGTAGGATTTAGGACTATACTTAAAGGATCATGGGGCTTAGTAACCAGGGTTATTTTCATGAGGTAACTGTACTTATGACCCCAATTAAGGTACTTGTAACCTTAGCTACTAAGTCCCATGATCCTCTAAATATGCCCCCCAAACCCATGCAGAACCCCTAATAATAGTTTCCCTTCTAGATCCCCTAAATAGGAGCCCTTGACAGGGACCCTAGCTGCTAAGTCCCATGATCCTCGAAGTAAGATTTGTTATGGAGGGCCCTGAATGATTTTTAAACGGGTTCCTCACCATCATGGCCCCGAGGTTGAACCTAGTAGTAGAGTAGGTAACCTTTAACTTTTTTTGGGTAGTATAGTCCCTAAATAATCCCCATACCGCCAAACAGGTTAACCTGCAGTTCCCCATGATACCCGACAAGTAGGTGAAATCATGGCACTTTACGGGTTCATAGGGCTTAAGGTGTTCAGGGTGTTAGGGTTTAGGCTTTAGTAATTTTGAGGTTTGGGGCGTATTCAAGGTTTTTTAGGGTTGGGGGTTCAAGGTTTTCGGGTTTAGGGTTTGAGGGTTTGGGGTTCAGGGCTTTAGGGTTGGGGTTTTACGGGGTGTGGAGTGCAACATTGCCTTAGTCCTTTTGAAGGTTTTCAGGGTTTCGGGTATTAGGTTTAATGTTGCGGGTCTACCTGGAGTAGCCAAAGTACGTTAATCAAACGGTTGATGTACCCATTGTTTAGGGGTCACATGTTTTTCTAATTACGTTAGGTACTTGAGGTACATGCATTTCGGACTAGACCCCAGACTTTGGACGCGGCAGGTAAAGATCCCTGATTTCGCTGCCTACTTTTGAGCATTGCTAGCTGATTGCCATTGCTTGACTGAAAGAGTGATCGATGAAATATTAAGACTGCCACCCACAAAAAGCAGGTAAGGCTAGGGCCCCAAGACAAAGTTTAGCGCAATAAATTTGCTGCTTCACAGAGCCCTGCAGTTTCCGCAGTATGGGACTGGTGGAGGAAGACAACTTGCATGTTTTTACTGTAAGCGGAATGATGGTCACAAGGCACCAGAGTGCCCAGAGATGTTCAAGGCCATCGACCGATTTTGCCCGGATGCGCCGAGCAGCTCCTTCCAAAGTGCCTGCCGACTGCAGTGTCGTAGTGGTCGCAGCACACCGCTGCAAACGTTGGGCGCTTGAGGCTGGCCTGAAGGTATCACTTGGCACGGTGGGTGCAGAGAGGGCGTGGCGCATCCTCCAACGAGCCGCCCGCAACAAGACGATTGATTCTAGGCCCAAAGGGTCCAAAGTACCGATATAGCAGGATGCAGGGTTTCTATATATCAGGATGTTTTGAATTAGGAATTACAATGATGTGGGGAAGTATTCCCCATAACAGTACCTGGGACAATTTTAGGGTGCTTATGGTAATGAAGGCCTTTTGTCCGAACCTTATTATAAGGTCCCCCAAGCCTTCAACGCTCAGATTAGAGAGACACATCAGTGAGATACGGGCCCGAATAGTTACCAATCCACCTATCAGGGCCTCATGGTTCCTTACTAGGATGGTATTGCAACACACATGCCAAGCACTGTTTAACAATGTTACGCCCAGTATGGCCACAAAGAGACACGGCGAGTTACCCGGATAATTTATCATTGTCTTATATATTTTTAAGACGAGCCTTGAGTCGGAAGCCTTTCTAATGGTTCATTAAGGTTTAGGGCAGCCAGGCATTCGATTGGGCCGCGCGAAGGAGAATGACCTCCAGATTGATCAGAAGGCCTCGGGAACTCAGCAACCCAGAATCAAGGAATATGCGCCTAGGACCCTGCCCCCCCGCCCAGTGACGGTTGAGGCCACAGGGCTTTGGGATCAGGTGTTCTGCAAGTCGGGCCCCGTTGGATACAGCTGTGTATTGCCTAGGGCCTCGGGCTTATGACGGGCCTAAACTTGCCGCAGAGCTCTAAACCCCAAAGCCCTAACCCTTCAAATCCTAAAACCCTGAACCCCTCAAGCCCTGAAATCCTTAAACGCTAAAGCCCTAAACCCTAACCCCCTTGAACACACCAGCGTGCCTGTACAGGTAGACTAACCGTCATCACGCTTCAAAAAATTCCCAGAACCCCAAAGCCCCCAAACCCTTAAACCCTAAAGCCACCAGGGGACCTCCTCCTAAACCCTCTAAACCCTAAACCTTAAACCCTCAAACCCTACACCCTGAACCCCTAAAGACCCAAAATCCTCAAGCCCAAAAGCCTTAACCCCTAACCCCTAAAACCCTAAAACCCGTAAAACCTTAAAACCTAAACCCTAAAGCCCTAAAACCAATAAACCCTAAAAGGCACCAAAGCCATTAAACCCTAAAAGCCCTAAACCACTGAAATCCCTAAACCCTTAAACCCTAAAGCCCTAAAGCATTAAAACCCCAAACCCTAAGAGCCCTAAACCCGCCAGGGGACCTCCTCCTAAACCCTATCCCCTAAACCCTTATAGATCCCTTTTAAAGGAACCCCTGAAACCACCTTTTGAAGAGCCTTTTTCCCTAACCCTAAGACTCCAAATAGCCCAAAGTAGGTAGTATTTATAGATTTTAGACCCCAAAGTGGGTACTATTTGTATACTTGGAGTCTTAGGGTAAGCCCTTATAGACCCTAAACCTTAAAGCCGTAAGACCGATAAACCCGAAAACCCTAAACCCTGAACCCCTAAAACCCTAAGTTACTAAAGCCCCGAGTCCACCAGGGGACCTCCTGGTTTCACTGCGAGATCCGGCTTCTCGAGCCGGAGAAGCGGGGGAGTGGCCCGGAGACCCAAGGGGAAAGAGTCCGAATTTGTTTGGGGGGCTTAGGGTTCAGAGTTTAGGGTTTAGGGTTTAGGGCTTAGGGTTGAGGATTTAAGGTTGAGGGTTTAGGATTTAGGGTTTAGGGCTTAGGGCTTCGGGCTTAGGGTCCAACGCGGGGTTAAGGGTTTATAGAGCTTAGGGTTTCGCGCCGTTTAGGGTTTAAGGGAAGAGTCCCACCTTGGGGGTGTTCCTTTAAGGGTTTAGGGCTTAGGCTGGGGTGTTCCTTTAAGGGTTTAGGGTGCTCATTAAAGGGTGCGTAATGCTGTAAGGCTTCCATGGGAGTCCCGAGGTTCCATAAGAGGTGCAATTGAAATTTGGGGTTTATAATGATTGATGAGCTTGGGGTTTAGGGTTTAGCGGAAACGTCCCAAGTTGGGGGGTTTCGGGGCGTAGGGCAGAGGTTTTTCGGGGTTTAGTGTTTTAAGGTTCCGGGTTTGGAGGTTTGAAGGTGTGGGGTCCAATTTAGGGTTTAGGGTTGAGGGTTTATAGAGCTTTGGGTTTAGGGTTTGGGGAAAGAGTCCCAATGTGGGAGAGTTTAGGGTTAGCGGAAATGTCCCAATTTGGAGTTGAGGGTTCAGGGGCTTAGGGCTGAGAGGAAGAGAAACTCTCTTCAGATTCATCAGCTTGCCGAGACAGTTCAAAGCGGGGCCTTAGTTGTTTTGGGGATGACTTACTTTATGGTTAGGATCCGATAACAAGAAACTCCTGGTAACCGAAAGAAGGTAGAACATTCAAGGGTCTGGGTGGGATTGAGGGTTAAGGGGGAAATATTCCTGTTTGTTTTGGGGGACATCCCAATCTGGGATCCATATAAGGTTGAGGGTTTAGAGTTTAGGGGTTTAGGGTTTAGGGCTTGGGGGGAAAGGATTACTGTGAATTTGTAGGCTCGAAGGTGTAAGCTGTCGTGGGGGTTTGCTGGGGGCGAAGGGAGTTTCGCCGGTCCGGCGCTGTCGATTCTATTGTGGGGCTTGTTGTGGCTGGACAGTTCAAAACTCAAGTCCTTGATGCCTCATTTAGCACTTCAGGCCTAGGTGTCACATCGGCGCCTAAACACCCTCCCCAACACCATGGCTCTGCAACTGCCATGGATAGAAGAAATGTGGTTATTATTTTGGGTACGGCCCCCACCAGTAATAGTTGAATAATATTCATATTATAGATAATAGGACCTTATTGGTACCCCTACTATAGACTCTTACTGTATGAGGGCAGTACCTAAGGTTTATATTAGGAGGCATGCCATCACCCGAAGACCGAGGTGGTGAGATCGTCAAGGTCCGCGACACCTCCACGAACGGTGTCGGGTTGAAGGCAGGGCCGCGGCTCTCGAACGGGGGCTACAAGCTGCCGTTTTTCAGCGGTCAAGTTTCGCGCGTCGTGGAGTTTTCGAGGGAAAACAGCTGTGAACGCCCCGGACCCGAAACCCAAAGCCCTACTCTCCTAAGCCAATAAGCCGTGAGCCCTAATATGACTTAGTAGAGCTTCTGGTTGAGGGTTTAAGGCTCGGGGTTAAGGGTTTTGGGTGCAGAAGATTTGGGACTCCGGCTGTTTTCGTTTCAGAAGAAGTCAGAAGGGTTCGCCCTCAGCCAGTCTGCGACAAGTTCGGCCCATGCTGTTGAACACTGCTGCGAAGGAGATCAGGGAGGGCGAGAGCAGCTTTTCCTGGTACTTAAAGGCTCATGGGACTTGGTAACTAAGGCTATAATTAGGCTACAGTAGGTTATAATTAGGATGGCCACACCTAGGGGATTTATAACCCCCAGTGGTAACCTACTTACTAAGTCCCAGGATCCTCTAAGTAAGGCCGACCGATCTCCAGCTCCCGTTGAACTACCGCCTATCGACAGAGGGGGCCAAGAGATGTCGGAGCAACGTCCCTGTTCCCTAAGGCTCCAGGTGCCCTTACAGTGTATACTTAGGCCTTAAAGTACCTATATAGGGACTCCTTTAAGGCTTGAGTATCTACTATAATGGTACATGGAGCCTTGGGGTTTTGGCTGAAATTTCTTTGCAGCTGCACCCCCGAGAGACTTGCTTGCCGAAGGACGAGGAGCCGCCGGCGAAGCAGTTCAATCATGGGCCTTGATGTGCAAACTCCTGCATCGTCCACAGTCAGCATGCAAGTAAATGTTCTGGTCTACTTCCTACCATAGTATAAGAGTATACCTCTATGATGACCACTACTTCTTGTTGCTGCTACATAGCATGCTGCGATCACCATCACTGTGACTGCCAAACACAACTCCGCTTAGTACTCAAACGTCGCTGCTTCTATTCATGGACTGGGAGTAGATTTTTCCTAACCCGAAGTAGGTTCACAGGGGATATTTATACAAACAGCAAGAGTACTGCAGCCCTGCTGATCCGTTGCAAAAACACAACCAGACCGAAAACACGTCCACAAAGCCGCCAGAAAGCCATGAAGCACGATAAAGCCGCTGTAGCAGCGCTAAAGATAGCCGAGGAACGCAACCCTAAACTCCAAGCCCTGCACCCTCAAGGGTCCTAGGTACTCTCATGGGAGATACTTCCTAATACAGAAACCCTACGTGCTACTACATAGGTGCCTTCGGACCCTTTAGGTCCATCTATCCGGGGTAAAAGCGGTCCAAGTCCTGTGCGACTGTCGCCGCAGGCGCCGGGCTCTAGCGTCCAGCGCCTCACCCGAGGTCCAGAAGGGAACCTTTCTTTTCTGTCAGTGGTTTCGGGTTTAGGGTTTCGCATGTTGGAGCTTGTTGTGGGTAGGGGTGGTTTTGGAGGATGTGTTAACTTGACTTCATGAGCTGTGAATAAAGTTAGACCTTGGCAGAGGGATGCTTCACCCTAAACCCGTAAACCCTAAACCGATGCTTCCCAGCAGAGCGAGGCCAAAGCCAGTTGCCACAAGTTCAAAGAACTGTGAAGATACTCCGCAAACCCCGTCGTAACTCTGTTGCTGACCAGGACCCCCCAAGTATCCTTTAATAGAGCCCTTATGGTCGTTTATCGCGGGTATTTAGGGTACATTAAAGGGTAGTTGGGGGTCTAGGGAAGCCAGAAACCATTCGTGGTCTTAAGTCCCGGCTCGAGGCCTTCCCCCCCAAGCTTGTGGTTCAAGATCCCGGGGTCCGGCTCCACCTTGGATTCTAACGTATTCCCAAAGGCTCCATGTACCCTTATAGTAGATACTTAAGCCTTAAAGGGGTCCCTATATAGGCACTTTAAGGCCTAAGTATATACTCTAAGGGTACATGGAGCCTTCGGGATTGCGGGCGAGGGGAGACAGCGGAAATAGGAGTCAGAGTCCAGCCTATGTGCGTGTGTGTCGCGGGCACAAGAAAACTCAATCACAGTGCTGTGAGTTGCACTTCCAACCTGCAGCAGAAGCATCCACTGCATTCTGAGGAGCTTAAACTAATGGACCCCTCTAAGCCCGAAACCCAGGAATTTAAAGCACAAACCCAACTAAACCACAGGAGCCCGAAGCCTACAATGCAAATCATAGGAGGCCGAAGCCGTACTCGTAGAGCCCGGCTCCTTATTATGATTATATGTAGAGAGAGAGAGAGAGAGAGAGAGAGAGAGAGAGAGAGAGAGAGAGAGAGACAGAGAGAGAGAGAGAGTAGATAGATGGATAGATAGATAGAGAGAGAGAGAGAGAGAGAGAGAGAGAGAGAGAGAGAGAGAGAGAGAGAGAGATGTTAATTGGGCCCCCAAACCCTATTCCATTTATTTTCACTTGCAAGGGTTTGCTTATTTCAATCATTAAGGCCCCGATATTATAGTACCCTTACGGTATACCTTATAGTAACCCTTATAGACCCTTTTAAAGGAACCCTAAACCCTATGTTACTCGTAGAGCCAGAAGCCTGAACCTTTCAGCGAAAGCCGCGCCCTTGGTTGGAAGGCCAGGACACACCCGTCCCGGACGGGTCGGTGATCACCATGCCTTACAAAATCAAGGCGGCTTAGGGTTCAGGATGTATAATTAATCCTACAAAATCAAGGCGGTCCTTCGTGTTTTTCCAACAGCGTTTAGGGTTTGATTAGGGTTCAGGTTTTAGGCTTTAAATAGGGGTCTCATTAGGGATCGCCATGCCTTGCAAAATGAAGGCGATCCTTCGTTTTTGTTCAATAGGGTTTAGGGCTTTAGGGGCTTAGGGGTCAGAGCTTGGGGGTTTTAAGGTTAAGGGTTTAGTAAAGGGGTTTCGAATTTGTGTCTGGGGTTTGGGGTTTAGGGGTTTAAGACTAGGACTTAATCCTTCTGAATCCTTCTTCAGGGTTGAGGGCCAAATCCTTGCAAACTCAAGAAATCCCCGAGCCGAACCTGTTCATAAGGAACCCTGTCACGAGGATACTCTTGGGGTCCAGGTAGCCGCGAGGGCCCACGCCTTGTAGGCAGAAGACGGAAACATTTCGCTAAGCCCCAAAACCCTATAAACCCTCAACCACTAAAGCCCCATAACCGCAAAACCCCAAACCCCCAAACCCCAAAACCCCCAAACCCTAAACCCCAAAACCCTAAACCCCTAAACCCCTGCACCCTAAAGCTTGAACAAAAAAACCTTAAACCCCGAAACCCTAAACTCTTAACCCTAAACCCCTAAACCACCGAATCCCTAAGTCCCCCTACTTCCTAGGCGGAGGACGGCAAAGTGGCGGAGGAGCAGCGAGCAGCTGTGCTGGCGGCCCCAAGCTCTCTTAGGTCCTTAGTTTTTAGGGTTTTAGGGTTTAGGGTTTAGGGTTCAGGGCGTAGGGGGTTTTAGGGGTTTAGGGCTATTATCATTATGATTTGGGTCGTTGTCAAAATTATGGGGTACCCTAGGGTTCCTTTAAAGGGATCCCTTACGGGATCCTTTAAGGGGAGATATGGGTCGTTGTCAAGATTAGGGTCCCTTTTTGGGTACCCTAAATATTAGGTGCCGTATTATATCACGGACCCCAAAAGGGACCCTAATTTTGACAACCACCCATTTCTACTACACTACTGTTTAGGGTTGAGGGTCTAGGGTTTAGGGTTCAGGGCGCAGGGGTTTTAGGGGTTTAGGGCTATTATCATTACAATTAGAAAGGCATGATTGTGACTACTATACCGCAGCAATACTAGGTTTTATGCTTAACATTGGTTTCTCTACTTACTACCATACTTCTTATTATTATTATTATGCCGGTCTGCTTTCCTTACTGCTATTCAATTTGTTGCCATTACATTCACCATAGATTGAACTACTGTTATTGGTTCGATTATTATGAGTACCTTAGTGATAGTAACGTTGACTTTTTCAAGCTCCCATATCGTAGCTCGCTGTAGCTAAGTGGTAAGTAAGGCGGAACCTGTAGGGTCTGGGCTTTAAGGCTTTACATATAAGTTCCTGGGTTCTGGAGTACCAGGGTTTAGGGTTTAGGGTTTAGGGTTTAGGGCCTTCAAGGAACCATTAATTATGAACAAAGAGTATCTATACTGCTTCTCCCTGGTTACTTGAAAGTCCAAGTTCAGAATTCTAGCATGACTCCCGCACTAAACCCCCAGGCCCTAAACCCTAAACCCCTAAACCCTAAACCCTCTATGCGGGCTTGTTCGCGACTGGCTCTCTGCCAGTCCTCGAGCCGTCGTCGGGTCTATCTGATACCATTAAACCCCTACAGTAGAAGCCAGAAAGTTGGAATATCATTATCGTAACCCCTTCAATAAAAGGTAAATTATAGGGGATCCTACCATTAATTAATCCATATTCCAACTTTCTGGAGTTCCCTGTAAGCCCTAAACCATGAAACTGTACGACGAGACCTATCTGCGAGTGTTAGGACTGCGTGACGAACCTTCTGATTACATTGGCATTTTGAAGGGTGTGCAGGCTGTGAGTTATGAATCGCTGGTTTAATTATAGTACTGGCGCTATCTCTACTACTATAGCAAAACCGTCTGTGAATTATGAGCGCTGTGACTGTTGTTTGATCGACTTGTTCTCATCTTTTACGTCTTGAGATCACTACGGTTGCAGTATGCATTCTCTTCGTTCCTATTGCGGTCAACATCATCATGAATTTCGGAGAAAGGTTCAACATCCCCCCAGACCAAAGAAACAGCTGAAGCCCGTAAACCGCTGAGCCCGTACATGCTAAAGTTCTATAGCCCAAAGCCCTCAGGGCTTGGGATTTAGGCCAGTTCAGGTTCTGATGATCCTCATACCTGGACCCTGAAATCTAGTGTAGTGCTTGTTGCTTGTTTGCCTGAGCTTGTTATTTCAAGATCCTAGACATAACATAAGTCATCCAATAGATGCATCTGAAAGTTGCATTGTACCTTGAATCAGTCAGAGATCATTCTGGAATTCGAGGAGGGCGATGCGCTTATGCTGTTCCACGGATATTCAGCTCTGCGCGGTAGGTTGTAGGGCTCATAGACTGTGCCGACTGCCAAGGAAAGTGATGGTGGTGCCTGCGCCCGCAAAGCAAGGCGCGCTGCGCAGAATCGACCGCTGAATGTCACTCCAAAAGCCCACCCTAGGCCCTCAACTTCGAGCCTGCCTGCAATTCTCGAATGTCAATACAACTCTGCAGTAGGTTATGTTCTTTATGCAATATTGCTTCACAATTTAGGAGGTTCGGAAAAAAGCCGCACCCTTTTAAAGATGTTTTCTTATAGGTACCTCGAGAATGGGATCCCTGAATGCCCAGGCCCCGGTATTGATGTCTAAGGGCTGTAGGGTTAGGGTTTCATAGGGTTCAGGAAAATCAAGAACATGGCCCAACATACACGGCTTCTTGTTCTACATGCTCTTGGGGTCCGATAGACTCGAATTCCGATAAACTATAAATCCCCTGAACCTGACCTAAACCCCCAACAGTAGATAAAATAATGGCTCAGCGCCAATACAAGGCTGGTATTCTACATACTTTTGGGGGTTCAGGTAGACCCTAACCCCTATAAACCCCAGAAAAGAGGAAAGAACTACACATCCTAAACCCTGCATGAGAAGAAGCAATGTAGGTATCTGCAGGGTTTGTTCAAGAATTTCGGATATTTGCTTCGTTGCACTCCAGCACACGCCATCCGAAACTTTCGAATCGAACCGTAAACCTACGGGGAAAATTTGAGATACCTATGTTGAAGGCAGCCGCAGCAGCAGTAGAGATCGAACTAGGCAGTATTGGGGTTGTAAGTTCTTTGGGGGGGACGGCTTGATCAGGCTCCTCCCCTCCACCTCCGGTACCAGTGCCGACGCCACAGCTTGTCGGGGACCCATTCACTGAGTTAGGTGTGGCATTCCCGTAGCCTGTCCGGGGAGCATACCTTCTGGCTGCCTACTGCTATGTTGGAAATAAAAAGGTGCGCTCATCAGATTAATCTTGAGTCTACTGTAATGTACGTACCGTACGGGTCCAAGCACCTAATAATCATATACTCTCTCAAATACGAAGCTACATAACTACCATCCGAAACCTAAGTACACAATCATTGCATCCTTTGACCCTCAGGCTTACCCACTATGGCCTATAACCCCAAAACAGTAGGGTTCATACAAGGAGCCCAAATAAAGACCCGAAGTTTCTAAATCAGGTTCCTACGTTACTCATTATTACTTACCTGAGGGAGGCCGGCTCATCAGTGATTTTGAGGTTAAGGGTTTAGGGGTTTAGGGTTTAGGATTTAGGGTTTAGGGTTTTGAGGTTCAGCACGACGGCTTTGCTGGCCTGCAGTTGTCGCGAATTTTGGCCTAAGTGTAGGGACTGGTTTTGGTGTTCTAGTCTGGATTCTTAGCAAGGCCCCGATACACTCATTTTTCCCCCCTAAACCCTGAACCCCGAACCCCTAAATCGTAAGCTTACTCCTCACCCAAAGGGTCCGGAGTACTACCTTCTTTTCGGGTCCTTATAATCAGGATCTTACTATTTATTATAGAATAGAACTTATAGAATAGAACTATATTAGGGTCCCCTATTGTCGGAAACTCCCATATGTTGCTTTGAGGAATCACGATTATGATTTGGGGAAGTAGTCCCCACAGCAGCACCTACTTGGAGGCTCATGGGACTTAGTAAGTAATGTTATAAGTACCCTGGCTGGGGTTATAAGTAGTTAGAGGTAGTGTTACCTTACTTATAAGCCTAGTTACCCTAGTTACTAAGTCCCATGATCCTTTAAGTGGGACCCTTTGGGTTATAGAACCCTTCGAGTTCCCCTTCAGCTTTCTCTCAGGGTGGCATATGGGAGTTTTCCCAAAATAGGGGACCCTGATATGGTACCCTGTATAGTAGGATCCTTATTATAAGGGCCCCAACTAAGGTACCCCTAATTTTGGGAAACTCCCATATACCTTCATACCTCAAAGCCCTAGACCAGTAGGGTACCGTTCCAGAACGCTAGTTGTTGCCTTAATATTGAATTTCCGCCAATTTCTCCAAAGCTCCCCTAAACCCTAAAGCCAACAGTCCTGAAATCTTCTCTAAGGGTCCAAACGACCCAGTAATTGCCCAATAATTAAATACTTAGGCTATGGAAAGCAGTTATGTAGGCTCCGCTTTGGCAGAGCACATGATTGTCAGGTACTTGGACCCTTCGGGCTTTCCCCAAAACCAGAACATAGGTTCTTGAGTAGTGCCCTTTTGCACTTATTAATTCAGGGCTCCCTTCTTAAAGCCGAATAGTAGGAAACAGAAGTATCCTTACTATGAAGGGGCCACTCAGGAATAGTAGCCTCTAGACTCTAAACCCTAAACCCTAAGCCCCTATAGTATCCATCATAGATCCCTTTGTAAGGACCCTTAACGTACCCTTTCCCAGAAAGCTTTCTCGCAGGTCCCGCCCGACCTCCCCGCGCCGATTCCTGCACCTGCGTCCGTCACGGCGGATCAGAAGGCGAAGGCTCGGTGGAGTTCGGGGCTCTTTCCTAAGACTACTATTAAGGAATATACCCTTAAATTATGGTAGGATCTCGAATATGATTCGGGGCTCTTTCAGG